TGGAATTTATTGTTTGCGGTTCATAAACGTTAATAAAAGACACCAATATTATATGTAAATGTTCCTAATAAAATAGATTGTGTCAATTTCTTAAAAGGGGTTAATAATGTTTTAATTAATAAATTTTGAGATTTTAAACAATTAAAAAAAAATGATTTTTGTGCACGTATAATTGAATTGTTATAGATAATAATAGTTAATTGAATTCCATAAAAACAAAAATGATGAATTTCCCCTTATTTACGTTTTTAGGAAACGGTTAACATAATTTCCAAAGACAAATTATCCCCCCTCGCAGAAAAAAAACTTCATTTGACCAAGGAAAGCAGATATTTTTCTATATACATAATTATAAATTTCTAAATACTAAAAGAATTCTCATTTTTTTAAGCAGGCTTATTTCACTTCCACCAATGATAATAACTGTTATTGTTATTCAATTCTGAAATTTCCCTTCTAAGTATTACAGAAATAACCCATTACAATGATTATTTCAAACCCGGTAAGTGCGAGTTTGAATAACCATTTCCTGGAACGGAAAATGTACATGTAACAAAAGGAGAATAATATCTTGGAAATGGGAGGCCAAATTATATACAAAATATGGTAAATTGAGGCAGTTAAAAAGAGGTAAATATTAAGGAAAACAGTTACAAAATTATCAAAGTAAGTAGATATTTGATTGATTTTTAAATGCAAATTATTAGGAACAAAATGTAAAAAATTCCCATCCTCAATAAAAAATAGTAACTTTGGTCTATTTTTGACTAAACTCCCCAACTCCCTCGTGCGTAATCTTCCCTTTTTGGGGGAGGCGTCTGTAAGCATCGCTTAAACGCTGTTTGGCCTCACCTATATAAAAAAGTCACAATTTTGCCGACGTGTCGCGAGATAATGCTGTCGGCGCAGCGTATTTTATTTTTCTCTCTTTCGCCGTGCGCGCGTCTCGAAGCGAAATTCAGTCAGCTCCGTTGTGGCAAAAGCCACGTCAGCGAGCGAAGTCCCATGTTAAATTTAACAATACGGAGGCAGTAGCGAGAGAGAGGCTGTCTATCCTTGAGATAACTTTTGTGACAATCTTGTTAAAAAGCAGCCAACCAAAAGTTGGCGAATCTGATAAAATAAAGAAAAACCGCTTCGCAAGGCAGCGACGAGCAGAATTATGATCTTGGAAATCAGATCGCTCTCCTCGAGGCCACGCCAGAGATGGAAGTTGTAATAATGAAATCTTGCTTTATCTCTGTAATGAAGACGATAATTTCTAGTCGGGGAAAGAAAGGAAATGAAAATCATTGCGTCCACGGACAGCAATTTACGACTGCAACCTCGCGGACTATATTTAAGAATAACTTTACGTGCCTCTGCGTACTGAAGATAATTGTAATATATTCTCCCTCTGCACTCGCAGAGATGGAAGTGAGCAATTCCAGTTACAATTTATGCAAACATTCCGTGTGCAGCGTTATGAAAAGGAATTTAACAGGATTCATTGAGATGATTGCATGCGAAGCGTACACTCTCTAATTTGAGTACTGACAATGTGTGAGCTGAATATTTCAATAAAATTTTCAAATCATTTCAAATGAAATCTGAATTCATGAATTGTGAAGCCTTTTGATTTTCTGATTAACATATACATATGGTTGTAGTTTCAATTTGTTTGGAAAATAAACAGAATTTGGTTTTAAAAAACTTTTTAATCTTTTCGATGTATATCCGAATCGACATATATTATTAACTTATTGTCCAGTGGGGTTGGTCATAACAACACAGAAATTTCTTTGTCATTGTTTTTAGCTGCTCATAAGTGGAGCCAGTTTGATGGTGCCATTTCTATTTGCTCCAAACCCATAGACACAATAAATGAAATTCGGATTATTTTCCTCAATTTTCGTTGTCTTCAATTGATCTCAAATAATTACGATCAAGTTCATAAGATATACTCTCCATGATGTGTCTTTGGAATCAGTAACAATTTTTGTTCACATAACTGAGCTCATCAATGCATGATAATATTTACATACATACAGATAAATGAATTTAACTTAAAGTTGCAAATGTTTAATTACTTTTAAAAATTAAATAATTATCAAATTATGAAATTACTAATTAAAATTATAATATTAAAAATAATATAATTTTTGTAGGAAAAAATAATTATTTTAGAACACAGGAAATAAATAAAATTTAATTATTATCAAGATATATCTTAATGATCTTTAGAACTAATGTTTAAAAATGTTTGTGAAATCATTTCTAGTCCTGCGATAATTCATCATTGACCTTGTTGAAATTCATTGCATTCCTTCCATTGAGGTAGGACAATTTTTACAAGGTGGAATTTTATCATGGAACAATAACCGTGCATCCAAAACTGTAGGCTTTGGAGTTACTTGGCGCGTTGATTAAATTTCACAAAAGAGCGGGGAACAAAAGGGCGCGTTGCTGCGCCAAAATGAGGCACCAGCTGCTGCCCTTGTTTCGGCGCCTTCCACTTTTTGCTCCTTTTAATGCAGAACGCATCGCTGACATAAAAACGGCTCGTAAAAGGGTCACTGATTAAACAATATTTATGTAATGCGACCTGGATGATGTGTGTGCCCCCTGGGCTCTCTCGCGATCCCCAATAAAAAGTATAAGATGGATGTCGAGCCAGTCGTAAAACAAGTTTTAATAACTCCGGCCCCGGTGGTATGCTTTGGGCGAAGACGCCAGAAATAATAAAGAGTGGGATCAAATTAAAATGTCCTTCACAGAGACACGCATTTTTGAAAAATAAAAAAATAGCCAGGCGGAGAAAAAAAAGGAACCGAATCAATAATTTCATTCTTCGCAGAAAACGACAAAGCAAAATAAGCAAAGCCTGGGAAATAATTTCTGCAAAGGCTTCGGCGTCCTTTGGCGCAAACACAAAAAGATTTTTTTTGCAAAGCTCCCGAAGCTACTTTGACAAGCAGAAAAAGAACACAACAGCCTCTAATTAAAACGAATGCCGCCCGCGAAGTGCTTTCTTTTTTTGTCCCGGTTTTGGCACCAGCTCGCAATTTTAGTATGGCTGCTCGTGTCGATGTTCATTTGGCCGAACGCAAATCTGAAAGGGGTGAAATTTAGCATGATCTCTTGCATGATGCCGCTCGAATAATCGGCCAATATTCGCATATTGATCGGCAACGCCGCCGGCAACTGCTGGAAAATGCAATTTGAGAGCAACACGGGCTTTCCTCTCTGGCAGCTGTTTTTGTTGTGAGAGCGAGTTGAGAGCACCGGGGCGTGCATTTCAAAGAGGCACGGATTTAAATATTTGTCCGTCATCTCGCTGTCTGGCCACCGACCGCAGGCACCCAATTAATAAAAGCAGCCGCCGGATTACGCCCCACATCGCTCGCTGTCAAAACAGTCGGACGCAGTTTTTAACTTGTGGTCCAGACTGGATAATTGGGAAAAATAAATAACTAAAAAGAGAGTAGAGGGACGTTTTTAAAAGAATCAGTTTCGTGGAAAACCCTTGCTAATTGGACATTTTGAATTTGCAGATGAAAATAATTGGGGACGGATGAAATCAATGATGTTATCGCAAAGTTTTATAAATATAAAAAAGACATTTTATAAATTATTGTTGCGAAGGTTGGAAGAAATTATTATACATGATTACTTTTTAAACTTAGAGATAATTTAACGTCCTAAATTAAAAGTATCGAGTCGTATGAGGTTGAAAATATTTTACCTTCAAACCGAACTTGTTGATCTAAAAAGATACAATTTTTTTGCATGAATTCAAAACAGTTCCACCCTCTTAAAAAAAATGAACACACTAAAATCTGAGAAAGTTACTCTAAAAAGAGAAATCTCCCTTATGTGTTCTTTTTTTTTATAGACAAACAAATTAGGCTTGAAAAAAGAGGCTTTTTAAATTTTTAACATTAAAATAGCTAAAAAATGGACCATTCTAATTAAAATTTCAGCTTTGAAACATTTTTACTAAAAAAAAACCTTTTCACTACTTTAGAAAATAAAATAAATTGCAGAGATATAAATTTCCACTAAAATCACCAAAACTGGTTTTTAGCTGATCAGACTCACTAATTAATTGATGAGTTGTGTTATTTGTATGCTTTGAATTTCTGATGCGTACCATTGGAATCCCCGGGGAACAGGAAAGTTTTGCACACTCAGATACAAATCAATCAGGCGCGTTCGCAACTTTACTCCCGGGCAGCTTTTATTAGGTGCATTTAGCCTGTCAAAGGGCAAAGTACTTTTTAAGCATTCTTCTGCGCCTTTCAGGACGTTACTTCCACACGCTAGTGGCACAAAGGACGCTTTGAAGTGGATTCCGAAAAGAGACGCAGGAGATGAGAAATAAAGCGGAGAAAACTACGTTTGATTTCTGCACGGATTTCTGCAAAAGGTCTCATCAAGGAATTCTTTTCCAGCAAATAACGAATTCCCGGGACTTTCATCTTTTACTATCATTCGACGACTCTCCATGAACTTCCTCATTTTCTCTGCAAGATTATTCCATAACGGAACGCCGGGAATAGTAATTCTATCCAATTTTCCAGCCTCAATTTAAAAGCTATTCACCAACACTAATCAGATTTCAGCTACTTGCGGCCGGGGTTTCTGTCTATGGATCCAAACCGACGCACTTTGGCGCAAAGCAAATCCAATCATTTAGGCACAAGTGAATATCAAGACGGTGCAAAAACTTCCAGCCGCTAAAAAAAAATATCAAAAGTTCCTTCCTCTTTAGAGCTTTTAGTAAATGAAATTTTCGTTCAAAAAGCGCCCAAACTCGTTCCAAATGAAAAGCCGGAGCGAGTCGATAAAGATTCCATCACAACTCTCTCGGCAAGTTCATTACTGGGCCCCTAGAATTCCCCAAGTCAGTCGCGAGCCATTAATATCCTCTGCCGGCCGACGAGTGCGAACAAAGTCATCGGAACCCCGTCACGCCCCTCGCCGAGCAAAAACTAAAACTCAAATGCTTCACCACTCACCTACGACAGTCAGAAGAACTTGCAGAACACGAGGGGGGTGGGAGGAGACCTGGCACTCGTAGTGGCCCTGGTCCCTGGCGGTGGCGTACCGGATTTGCAGGCGCCAGTTGTTGGGCGCCTCGAACATCAGCGCGAACCTGCTGTCGCTGATGTACGTGTGCAGACCGAAGGTGATCAAGCGCAGCTCCTCACCGTGACGTCTCACCCAAGAAACCTGCGAACAGAATTGTGCAAAAATTATTTTTATTGTAAAGGATGATCAATTTGAATATTTTTAAAATAAGGTTTTGAGAAAAAACATTTTAATTTCCTTGCAAAATTTTAAATTCAATTCAATTCCGAAAAAGAAAAAGAAAAAACGGACAGCAATAAATTTTTTATTAGATATACTAATTTTTTCCTCCTTTTTTTCTAATTTTTAGCTAAATTCAATTACAGCCTTAGATTAGATTGATATTTTAAAAATATATAGTATGAATTTCGTGGAAATTTTTGCCGGATTTCAAATAATTTTATAATTTGAAAATTTATTTTTAGATGCATTTTTATAAATTAATATTAAAAGAGCTTTTTTTTCATCTTCTTTTTATTCCCAGCAGTTTTTATTCAAATTATAATCGAAGCAATGTGGAAAATTTGATAAGCTTTTGTAATTTGGAATTATATATTGTTGGAATTGGATTTGAACAGTCTAGGTTGACTGGAAAATTTTTAATGCCAATTAATTGAATATAAATTTATTTTAATTTCCTCATAGTTTGTAGCTCAAATTGTCACAATGCTTTCTCTCTCAACACACCGCAAACCCTCTCCAACACAAACATAGTGTGTTTTGTGTGACAGATTCAAGCTAACATGCCCGTTGTTGTTAATCCTGTTCGCCGGTAATAATTCTTGAGGCGGAAAGTGCATTAGAATCGACAGACACACACATGTGAATTAATATATACCAGAGCCGGCGGGAGATGAAATTCGCACCGACGAGTCTACGTGAAATAAATCAGTCCTCTCAGGGATGCTAATCGCGCCGCTCGCTGGAAAATCAATTTATGCAAAGCACAACGAGACACCGCGTGCTTTAATAGAATTGTATTTCGTGACAGGTCCAATTGCATTCTGTTGCCTCCCGCGGGCGTTCAATAAATTAAGGCGGACAGGTGTACGTAATGTCAGAGACGAGCGTTATGCCCGACGTTGAGTGGCCAAAATATATGCATATCTTTGATTTTCCTGCAGCAACTACGGTTATTGATTTCGCGTCCCTTTAATTAGAATTTTTGTAATTTTTCCCTTTCATAATTTCGCCCTTTGTTTACTTTTGGTAGATTGATTTGAGTGGGAAAAGCTTTCCAGGCTTTTGGAATCATTCTTTGGAGGAAAAATTACGAATGGTGCTCATTCATTTTAAAACGCACTACACATGAAGGTTCAAAAAAAGGAAAAAAAATCTAAATTTATTTAAAATTTAATGTATTTTGTTGGGATTGATGGAGTAAAAATTTTAAAAGGAGTAAGGTACGTGATGTTATTTTTTTTAATTACTATAAATCAACACAGTAGAACTGCCAAAAAAAATTGGTATTTAGGCAAATAAAGTTTCTTATTGTGAATAACAAATAATGTATGAATATTATGCTTGTTCTCAACAACAGTAAACGTTTTTGGAATTTTTACCATTTTCTTTCTATTCCTATGCAGTCCATATTTGTTCAAAAGATCAATTAGTGCATGAAGATTAAATTAAAAACAAGTTACCATATTGAACTCCTGATGACAGAAAGGCATTTTGACACTATTTGTTAAAATTGATTACTGTTTTGTATACTACCTCATTCATTGGATAATATATTATATTATTTGTGTATTAGAATTAATTAGTAAAATAATTTATTGCTAATATCATTAAAATTAAAATTTTAAAAAATAAATAAGCTATATTTATAAGTAAAAACAATAATGAATTTAAAGTCAAGTAATTAAAAAAAAAAAGTCCAATACGATTTAAATATTTATTTTTTAAACTTTACAATCTTTCATATTTTTCAGATTTATTATAAAAAATTCTTATCATTCAATATTTTCTGCTTCAGTTTTATTATTCTTCCTCTCACTAAATCTTTATATTGGGCCATTGTGCGAAAATAAGCCCTGGCAGCTGATTTTTCTCTCATACATCTGCTCAGCTGAAATAATTTAATTAGAAATCCTCTCCAGGGGACCAATTTCCTCATCGGCGCAGGGAGCTGATGCGGGCAAATTGCACGTAACAAGATTCCGAAGCAATCTCAGGCATGTGCTCGGCGGTGGCGAAGCCTTTCTTGGATAATTCTTTCCCACCCCGGCTCAGAGTTAAAAGAGGTGAGCGAGGCGCTCTGCACGGAGCCTGATTAATTTAATTGAGGGTTTTATAAAGGGAAGGGCTTTCCTGGAACGTCACAAACCACAGATTGCGATTATGCTTCGTAATTAAAGCGAGCGAACTCCTTTCGAGGAATAAAATTTAATTCGGCCTCATTAACGCTGAAGGTGATTAAAGTAATTCAAAGGACTCGGTCTTATCACCTCACAAGAAGTGCAAACTGAAATTGCTACGCTTGAATGGAATCTTTAGTGCCTCCATCAAAAGGGCGAACGCTTTCATCGCCACATTTCTGCTACCCTTGCCGATCTTTTTCCACCGCGTGTCTTTCCAGCTCGACTTTTCACGCCGTTTTCTTTTTTGTTTGCCGTCACGCAGCAGCGCTCAAAGTGCGGCGTTAACTTTTGCATCGCAGTATAAAACATGACTAGAAAGTGCCTCGGCAAAGTATTGCTTTTACTTAAAGTAGCGTTTCGTGCGCGGATCAAGGTTTAGGATTTGCCGCGTAGAGCTCACTTTATTAGCCGGCAGCAACGAAATGAGCGTTAAATGGAGATGAGTTTGTCCTGATTATGTGCGCCTTTCAAATGCAACATCGATTTTCCATCAAAAGGTCACAGAGCTCTTTACAAAATTGCATTTTGAAACAAAGTTTTATCAAGTTTATATTTTAAGAAATTTCTATGATCAGAAAAATGTATTTTTTTCAAAATATATTTTTTCCCAATAATAAAGCCTAAGACAAAATATTGATTAGGAAACAATTTGATTCATTTTTTTTATCAATTTAGGACTCGCAATCATTACAAGGATGAAAAAGACGCAACCTGCGCAACATACATGTCAAGCAGGTTGCATTAATATTAATTAATTTGTTAATTTCACTGGCAAAAAGCTGTGTTTATATAGTCGAGGAAAAAATCGGAACACCCTTGCAGTGATAATTGATTGCCACTAGGAGAAACTTTGGTACCAAGCAACATTTTTGCTGCAAAAATATCATGGGACGGACTAAACAAATAATTTTTTGCCTAAAACAATTTTCCAAAAAGCTTGGAATATTTCAAGTTTTTATGGATTTACGTAATTAAACTAATTGTTGAGGTTTCCAGACTTATCAAAACTTATTATACAAACTTTCTTTACTTTCTACATAATTCAACACCATCAATTTTGATTTGATAAATGAGGGAAAAATATAATCTTGTGTATACATCATTGGCGTTTGGCAGGATTTTCTCCGTGATTTGGAAACAGCCCAAGAAATCGCGTTCGACGAGAAGTGGAATGTATAAACAACCTTCGAAGTTTTGACATTTTTAGAGGGTGAGAAACGCAAAACACGGTGGCAAAAAAGTCTTGTTTACAGTCGTCGGCGAGAGAGATGACGGCAAAAAATTGCGCCTCATATTGTGCTGTCACTCGGAATGAATTGCGTGCGGCCGCGGGAAAAAATTTGGGAAAAATTTGGGGCATGTATTCCATTAGGGCGGCAATTTGGGGTAGGGGGAGGAACTCTGACAAGAGAAGGAGTGAGTCGTTGGCTGCATAATACATTTAAACGGCGACGGCTTGGCACTTTTGTTATAAAATAGGAGGACGTGAGCGAATTCAGCAAAGGAGGGAAAAAAAAGAAAGAGAGGGTTCGGCCGTTTGAAATGCTTAGCCACGTTTAATTTGCGTTAATAATGTCTGCTACTCTCACGGGGTGTATTATTGGTTCGCCACGGAACGTGAGTCTGTGAGCTAAACGTGCGCCCATTACTCTCTCCCCCGCAGGCTGGAGATGTTTGGCGTCTCTCTTGGCCAGGCCTTGTTTTGCACAATAGATCTCCAAGGCATTATGCGCGCCGCCTGAATTTATATCGCGCGCACAAATACCGCGGCTTTCGCCAAACTGCCAAATTTTACTGCCTTTGTCTGCGGAGTTTTGACCGCGCCCCACTTTTCGCTCCTTCGCTCAGCACATTTTTTGCATGCCTGCGCCTCCGTGATAAATGTTTATTATGAAATTTTTAAGCCGACGCGCCTGCTGAATGAAATATATTTTGCATGCATTCCTCGAGCCGCTCCAAAGCTTCAAGGAACATGCTCTCAGTAAATTTGACATGGAGAAAAATGAAATATTCATCTCGGAACATCATAAAAAGTTAATTAAATTTCGTCTGAAAAAAATATTAAAATATATCCTGTGAGATTTGAAATTTTAATTTTTAAATGTAGTGTGTATAGAACACAGCAAATTTCTCTGAATTCAGAATTTAATTTAATGAACCCAATAAGATTTACTTTGCAACCAACTAGTTGAAATTGTAGTAAGAATATAAATGAAAGAAAAAGACGATTTTGATATTAATTATCAATTAGAAAAAAATTAATATATTTTCAGACAAATTGGCACAAATCTTAGTAATTATTATATATTAAATGACATTTAAGAACAACTGTATTTTAAAATAATTAATTTTAAATTTTAGAAGACAAATAAGCATATTTATTTAAAGAAGCAATTTTTTTATGTTTTTAATGATTCATTAATTTACTTCTTATTTATTAATTTCCAAAGATACAAACAAATTAATAAGCTTAGTTTTTTTTGTTATTTTCATTTAACTTATTCTACAACTATATCAATATGAACTTTGCATCTCTGTTCGATTATCTAAAAATTGTAAAATTAGTTGACATTCCGCGTGGAATTTTCTCCTGATATAATTATTTTAAAAATGCATGTGAAAAACGACCGAAATTATCAATATGATTATAATTATTTTTGTAAGTTTATCTCATACGTTTAAAGAAATTTATAATTTTGTAGATTCAGGTTAGACTTATTTTAGTTTGATAAAATCAAT